AGGATGAGATTCTTATCTCTCAGAGGAAGTATGTTCTTGATTTGCTCTCTGAAACAGAGAAGATGGGTGCTAGACCAGTTGCTACTCCTATTGATATGAGTCATAAACTCTCTGCTTCAGATGGAATATTGTTAGAAGACAAAGGAGTCTTCCAGAGACTCCTTGGAAAACTTTTTTATCTATGCATGACTCGGCCAGACATTGCATATGCTGTCAGTTGCATCAGCCAATTCATGCATGCTCCCCGGGATACTCATATGGCAGCAGCAGAGCGAATTCTGTGTTATTTGAAGGGCTCCCTTGGAAAGGGAATCCTGTTTGCCAAGCATGGCCATATGAAACTTGAAGCCTATACAGATGCTGACTGGGCTGGAAACATTGATGACAGAAGATCTACTTCTGGGTACTGCAGCTTGGTGGCATGTAATATTGTCTCTTGGAGAAACAAGAAACAATCTGTTGTTGCTCGATCTTCAACAGAAGAAGAATACAAAGCCATGGCAGATGGAGTTTCTGAACTATTGTGGCTAAAATCATTGATGGAGGAACTGGGGATTGAGCATGATAAGCCAATGATGTTATACTATGATAATCAGGCCGCCATCAACATTGCTCACAACCCAGTACAACATGACAGAACTAAGTATATTGAAGTTGACAGACACTTCATTCGAGAAAGAGTGGCTTTTGGTGAAGTATGTCTACCTTTCATCACCTCTGAAGGACAGTTAGCAGATTTCCTCACCAAGGGCATTSCCAAGGCTAAACTTCAGCATGATACTGGCAAGCTTGGCATGATTGACATCTATGCTCAACTTGAGGGGGAGTGTAGAGAAGATGGGCCGAATGGCCCATAGGCTGTTTATCTTTTTTTATCTTTTATGTTCTTTGCTGTAATGGGCCTTATTATGGGCCTATTCTTTCTATGTTATGTTATTTTAATTTCTTGCCCAACTAAGGGCCTCTTTGTAAATTATCAAAGTTTAACTTAATAAAATAGTGTTAGGGGTGTAAGAGTGGAGATTAAGGTTCGAAACTCTCTTACTCTGAACCCCTATTGCCGCCATCTTCTTCTTCATCTTCTCTTCCTTAGAAGAATGATTTCAGTTATTTTATTTTGATTTCTGCATCTGTTCTAAACAGTCCTTTATTCTCAAAAGACTATTTTTCTTCTACCTTCTTATTAGCCCTAAGAAAAACTTCTACAGATTTCGCCCTAGGCACATAATTCTCTCCATTCAATTTGATAGAAGTCATTTGAACATTCAGGCAATCGGGGGGAACCATAACACTAGACTTGTGTTCCCTACTGTCTCCCATATCTGATTTTTTTCTTTTTTTTTTCAACATCACTAAACCCTCCTGAATCCACAGCACACTCCTAGTACTAGATCTGCAGCCAATCAGCCACTCAAATCTCACTATAACACCCATACTGCACACTACAAAACAGACATGTACTCGACTGAACACTACACCTGAAACTGGAGGCATGAAAACCTCCTAAGGGAAAAAACGACCACTCCTTTGCAGTCTTTTTCTTAATCTCCAAGGGATTGTTATAGCAGCTCTAATACCATGATAAAATTCAGATCTGCACTAGTATTCAATTAGGAACAGCAGTATAAAGAGATTAAAGGAGATAGAAGAAGAAGAGAAGAGAAAAGAGGAGAAGAAAAGACTGGTTCGAACAAGAGAAAAAATCACTCTCTCTAGTCAGCCAGGTTTATGTTTATTGTTTTCTATAATAAAACATAATTGACTGTTACGCCCCTACTTAAGTATGGGACACATCACTCAACTTAAACATTATACCTCACACCAAATATAAATAAAAAGACCAAACTGCCCCTATACAGTTGATACTAACAGAAACCTATTTGCAGCAACATGGTATACAATGACAGAGATGTTGCTCAGGCCCTCCTCAACAAAATGGAGTATCTGAATGCAAGAATTGCCATATCATGAGTGTTGTTAGGACCATTCTTCTAGATTCCCATGCTCCAACAACTTCCGGGTGGAGGGAGCAAGCACTTCTGTGCATCTCATTAATCTTCTTCCATCATCTGTTCTTGGTAATTTGTCCCCACATCAATTCTTTTCAAATCTCCTCCTAACTTCTCTATGTTGCATGTGTTTGGGTGTATCTATTTTGTGCATCTCATTAATCTTCTTCCATCATTTGTTCTTGGTAATTTGACCCCACCAATTCTTTTGAAATCTCCTCCTAACTTCTCTATGTTGCATGTGTTCAGGTGTATCTATTTTGCACATCTTCCTCCTCATGAATGTACTAAGTTATTTGCTTAGTATGTTTTATGTGAATTATTGAGTTATAACCCTAATCTTAATGGATTTGTATGCTATGACCAAAATCTCGTTGGACTAGAATTTCTTGAAATGTGATATTTCTTGAAACTCTCTCCTTTTTCAGCATATTACAAAATTTCTTGTTCCTTTAGTGTCAATCTTGCAATGCTTTGAGTTTGTAGGTACTTTAGACACTTTGTCTCTCTTTCAACTACCACATCAGACTTATTTCAGGAAGTGGATAGCTGCTTTAGTTTCTACACTCCCAACCTCTCCTCTACCAAAGCATGGTTCATCATCTATTCCAGCCCCTGTAAGTATCTCATCTCCTCTTGTTAAAATTGTTGCTTCATCCATAGACATTCCTCCCTTACATTGCTCTACTGGAGTTTCCAAACCACCTGATCACTATGGTTTTCTTTCTAATATTGTTGTGTTATCATCTACAAATATTCCTGTCATACTAGTAGGTTATGGCTCATACTCATTGGAAATGTACCATGGATATTGAGATTTCTACCCTCCTTGAGAATGATACATGGGAATTAGTTCCTCCTCCTGATGCATCAGCCATAGGAAGTCTTTGGATTTATTCAGTGAAGTTCAAGTCTGATGGTAATCTTGACAGATACAAGGCTAGATTGGTTGCTTACGGTTACAAGCAGGAGTACAAAATTGACTACGAGGAGATTGGGAGACATTTACCCATGTTGCCAAGATGACCACAGACTGTCTTCTCATTGCCACTTTTGCAGCCAAGAACTGGGTGATCCACTACATGGATATGAAAATGCCTTCTTGCATGGGGATTTAAAAAGATGGAGTATATTAAACCACCTCCTGGTTATTGTGACGATCCTCCTCTTGTCTATTGCCTTAAGAAATCTCCCTATGGTCTCAAATAGGTCCCTCGGGTCTGGTTTGAGAGATTTAGATAAGTTATTACAGATGCTGGTCTCACCCAAAGCTCCTTAGGTTACTCCCTCTTCACCTCACAACGTCCTAAGGTATCATTCTATTGCTACTACATGTTGATGATATTCTTGTAACTAGAGATGATCAGGATGGTATTCGTCACCTAAAGAAGCTTCTCAGTCAATCATTCAAGATGAAGAGTCTAGGTCCTGTTACATACTTCTTGGGCTTAGAAGTTCATCATAATTCTCATGGCTACTTTGTTAATTAATAGAAGTATGTTATTGATTTGACTAAGCTTTCTCATCTTATAGATTCCAAGTTAGTTGATAATCCTCTGGAGATAAATCTAAAGCTTATTAAAGATGACAGTCTACTTTTGGAACATGCTACTCTCTATCGTCAACTTGTGGGGAGTCTCATTTACCTCACCATGACATGACCAAGCATATCATATGCAGTTCAGATTGTTATCCAGTTTGTTTCCTCTGAAAACCACACATGATAGTTATTTTCATTTCCTTTCCTTCACCTCATCCCTATAGTTGTCTGCATATGCAAATGCTAACTGGGCTGGCTGTTCAGATACTCAACTATCTATTACTAGATGGTGTATTTTCTAGGTGATTCCCTTATTTCTTGGAAATGTAAAAAGCAACAAACAATTTCTAAGTCTTCTACTAAAACAGAATGCCGAGCCATGTCTGCAACACGTAGTGAAATTATTTGGCTCAAGTCACTTTTACATGATTTCTATATTGATCAATCATCTCCTATACCTTTATTACCTGACAATCTCAGTGCCATCAAGATTGCCTCTAATCCAGTCTTCCATGAGAGGACGAAGCATATTGAAGTGGATTATCACTTTATCTGGGATCTCCTTACTGCGGTTCACATCTCACTTCTTCATGTTTCTTCTAGCCTTTAGCTAGAGGACATCTTCACAAAAGCTATGACAAGAGCCAGGCATTCTTTTCTTATGGGCAAACTGATGCTAGTACCCTTGAATCAGTTTCAGTGGGAGTTAGAGATAATGAAGGTTAAAGTTGTAATTTTACTTATAGTTTGTATCTTGTGCACATTCTTTTATTGTGTACTTGTAACATAAGGAAAGAAATGTCCTATTTCTTTTTAATATAAATACTTTTCTCTTGATGTGGTTGAATTATCTAACACACCACAAATCTGTTTGTTTCTCTTTCATTTGAATTGCACTGACACTATATGGGGTTGGCCACATGAATCCTATCCGCCATTCCATTCTGTTCAGTGCCATATCCACCTTAATTTCTCTTACTATATTATATGTATTCATGTAGAAAATGTTCAGACCATTCTCCAGCCACATCTGGCTGCTTCTCTCTCTCTCTCACACACACACACATTATAAGCTTTCCCTGTTTATGGTATTCATTTTAATTCTTTTAAAATAATATCTTTCATACCACAGACCTTTCTATTTTTAAACTCATTCTTTTCTAAATAGGCTCATTTCTTCCTTTGCCAATGTGTGTATATACTTTTCAGATATGTGTATGTGTATGCTTTCATTTCTTTGTTTATATTATACTGGTGGATAAGTTAACCTTTTACAAAATGTTACAATATTTCCAATTCTTTTGGCTATGGCCATCAGCATTGTTTTTTGCTTGTTTATAGGGGTCTTCCTTCTCTTTTATATGCAAATAAGTATTTCTGTTTTGTGTGTCTACCTTGTGCTATTTTTTGTTTTCTATTCAGTTATATCAATTGAACACTAAAGAAAAATATAACTAATTGTTTCTTGTTCTGTATTCTCAACCACCTAAACTTCACCATTGTTAGTACAGGTACAAATATGGGTCAGCAATAAGATAAATAAAGAAGAGCGTTCATGTGTGGGAAAGTGGGATATCCAATCCTTGATCTCATCATCCTCAGAATTTTATGGGCCAGAAAAATCAGGCAGTGAGAATGATGTTCCAAGGCATGTCAAGTTTACCTTCAAGAATCAAATTCGGTGCCGTATCATTTGGATAACACTACGTATTAGGCGGCCGGGTTCAAGTTCTATTCATTTAGACCAAGAATTCGATCTTTTTTCTCTAGATGAAAATCCTTTTGAACATAGCCGTCGTGCCTCTTTTGGAGGTACAGTTCAAAGTGAACCATGCATTCATGCCAAAAGGTTTTTAGTAGCTGGGAGCCATGTAAGGAATGATCTAGGGCTTGCATCACAAAGATCTGACAACATAAACTTGAAATCCTGGTTAGAGAGAGCTCCACAGTTAAGTCGATTCAAGGTATGAATGATTCTTCTTACTTGTTAGCCTTACAAATATGGTTTTCTGTCAGTTATTTACTGCATTATGTCTTGATTGATTGTTTTTTATTCTTCTTTGAAGGTTCCAGTTGAGGCTGAAAGATTATTCGACAATGATTTAGTCTTGGAACAGTATCTATCACCTGCTTCACCTCCACTGGCGGGGTTCCGTCTGGATGCTTTCACTGTGATAAAGCCTCGTATTACCCATTCACCTTCTTCTTTGGAAGTGGGTATCTGGGATAATTCCTTAACATGTTTAGAAGACAGGCACATATTTCCTGCAGTACTATTTATTCATGTATCTGCTCTCCAGGTAGTTAGAAGTGAATCTCTCTCATCTACATTATTGTTGCATTATCTACATTAACATGATATTATAACTTTTGCCCAATATTGTCAGACTCAGATTGGACTGCAAATTTGAACTGTGTCCCAGTAGGCATTCCATATGTTAATAACCCCAACTTTCATACTTTTCTAACACCTAGTTAGCTTAGATTGCATCAGGATGTTATTGGCAAACCAGTCAAATTTAAGAAACCAAGACAGTTTAACTGTCAGCAAGCCAGTCCATTTGTTAAGAACAATTTGATTCATATATAAGACAACATTTACATATGGATAACATCTATTTTTGTTTGTTATGAAAATGCAACTAAAAAGATCTGAATCTATCTATTACTTATGTAGTGGCACAAATAAATACCATCTGTTACAAACTGTATAATTAAAATAGGAAGATGTTATAGACTGTATAATTAAAATAGGAAGATGTTACAGACTGTATAATTAAAATAGGAAGTAAATACTAGGGAGATATGATGTTACAGACTGTATAACTAAAATAGGAAGTAAATACTAGGGAGATATGATTTACCTTGATTGTAGGACAGATTTGTAGGAATTTGATTAGTCTTCTTTCCTAACATAGAATTTGTAACTTGTATATATACATACGAGATTGATGAATAATACAACAAATTCTTCTTCTTCCTCTGTCTACTCTTATTTCACACCATCAAACAACACTTCAAGATTAGATGTATTTTACATATATTTATATGTATTCTATATGTATCCATTTATGATGTCATGGGTCACTAGCTTGCCCATTGGTCAGACTGTTTAGCCCATAGCCCTATCCTGTCTTTGTCCAAATGGTCTGGTTCTGACAACACTGCTTTTGTTTGCTTGTAGTTTTGACACAAATTTGTGAAGGTAAAACCACTCATTAGAAGTTTAGAACTAAAAATTGTTAGACAGTTTTGTATGCCCTTAGCTTCAATCAGAATGATGTACTTTATGAGTTTATTGTAAATGAATAAAAGTGCATATTTGATTCAT